CGATTTTTCTCTTATACATTTGGTGAACATTTATAAGCTTTAAATTGTTTGGAAAGTGGAAAGCAATTTTCTTTGGTAGTCTGGACTTTCAATTTCCTGAGAAACTACCGATACTATATTGCACAACTTACAGAAGATCTGATATGAGATTTTGGGGTATTTATGCAGCTATAGCATGGGTATCAGACAAAAACTGGCAGAAGAATTTGGGTCAAGTCCTAACAAGGAAGGGAAACTCGGAAAACAACATGCAGAAGATGTGATTGTTACACCACTAAGATCTGAAAACTATCACTTGGATATCGCCAGTTCTATTTTTTGCGGGGTATTTCCTGGAGATGGTTGGAGTGGTCGTATGGAAGACTGTGTTTTGCAAGGGTGCATTCCTGTTGTCATTCAGGTTGTTAATTCTCTATTTCGTTTCTTGGCCGTCTTATTGGAGTCTCGGAACATTCTGTTAGTTCATCACTTACTTTAAAATGCTTGTTAGACAGTGATTGTTCGCATCTTCTCATATTATGGAACGCGTAACCCTCTTTTGTTATTTACCTTCTCCAGTTATTAAGCATTTTTGTCTTTCCTTGTCGTGTTTAGAAGCTTTATCATGAACCATGATATCCAAATGATGATAACTTACATTCGTCGTTCTTCTATTTTGTTTCTTCATGTTTAGGATGGGATTTTCCTGCCATATGAAAATGTGCTCAACTATGAAAGTTTTGCTGTCCGGATACACGAAGATGAAATTCCAAATTTGATAAATATTCTTCGGGTAAGTTATTACTTTTATGATTGGTACAAAGAAGCTTCTGATTGGAAGTTTGAAGGCGTTAAGCTGACTGATTTTCGGAATCCTGAATTCTGCAGGCATTTAATGAGACAGAAATAAAGTTCAGGCTGGCTAATGTCCAGAAAATTTGGCAGAGGTTTCTGTATCGTGATTCTATTATGCTCGAAGCTGAGAGGCAAAAAACAGTTTTTGGTCGTATGACAGAGTGGGCAGCTCAATTCTCGCAGCTAATTGAAGACGATGTGTTTGCAACATTGATACAGGTAAATATCCTCCTATTCCATGTAGAAAGATGATTAATACTCAAACCATCCTCCTTCAACATTTGTTGTTAGCTGATATAAAGTTCATGGAATTACTTTTCTGAAACGTTTCAAGATGGAATCGCTGACCGCTTGCTCTCATGGATCTTAATCAGGTTTTGCATTACAAGTTGCATAATGACCCGTGGAGGCAACATGTTCATGTTAAAAAGGAGTTCGGGTTACCTCAAGAGTGTTTGTTTAAAAGCAACTGAAGAAACAAGCTTACTTACTGCTAAACCAATTTGTAGAGATGATAATTGCTGCATCTGAAGAGCTCATCGCGTAAGAGGAAGCAAGCATGGCGACAAATTGTCATTCAAACGAGAAGCTCATCGTTAACAGCATCCGGTTCGATACAGAAAGCCAGGTGTTCTGAACGTTGTACTCCAGTTTTGCCAATTTTGTCCAAATGGAAGGACCTTAATCTTCTTCTCATCGTATACTTATTTACTGTTAACATCTTGGCCGGAAGTTGTCCGCGCACGCATGGGGACTGCCGTTTCTGATCCGAATAAGCGGAGACGGAAGCACAAACTTGTTCTATGTTTTCATATTATCTTGCATACTGAGAGGTATACATGTAAGATACAGGTGATCGTATAAGACTTTGGTTCAAAATTTGTCTTACTTTCAATTTTCTCATGATATAAAGAAAAAACTCTGGTATGTTGTTAAAAATATGAAACGAGACGTCTTATATGCCCATACAAAGTCAATAACATGATATACACAATTTTCACACTCTATATAGACAAAAAGTGTATTTGAGCGATACGACTTATAAGCCCATACAAAATCATAAACAATTGATAGTTTTTGCGTCATTGTACTTTAACAATGACGCTTGTAGTGACACACATGACGTTTTCTATGTCCTTAAAGAAGAACATTTGAAAAAAAAAACAGGGGCGCTTGTTTAAACGTTAACGACACTTTCTTCAATGTCATGATACCTTTTTTTGTTGGTCAAATAATGTCATGATACATGAAACGCTTGTTTTTTAGGGTATGAACTTTTCCAGATAATGGTAAGACCGAGACCAAAACGTTATCTCCTAGGCCGAGTATTTCATGCGGACAACCAAACTATGGGAAACTTGTTCTCTCTTAACGTCACAAAGACCACGTCATCCGAAAAGACGATGGACAACGTGATAGCGTACAAACCTCTCTGTACGTGATTACGTTTGTCCTCAGTCCCGCTGAAGGATAAGAACGATGATTTTCTCCACAAACCACTGTAGCTCCCCGTTTTTTCTAAAAAAATGAGTATTTTTTGTGAGTCGTAGGAGGTTGATTGGCTGGTAGATTTGATAGGATTTTAAAAGTGATAGATTTGATAGGATTTAAGAAGATTAAAGACTCCTACAAAATTCATATGGATTTTAAAGAATTTGAATGAATTGTGGTGGATTATGATGAAAGGATTTGAAATCCTAGGGGGTGGGGTTGGATTCTTTTTACTCTTGGTTATATATATTTTTTACTTTCAAATCCCACAAAATCCATAACTTATTGAAATTCTCCAAAATCTTAATTTTTTTAATACACTTAGATTTGGATGTATTTTAAAATACTTTAAAATCTTTTAATTGACTATACCAAGATTTGAATGGATTCTAAAATCCTTTAAAATCCTTTAATTGACTACACTAGGATTTTAAAATCTCAAATCTGAGTTTGACTATACCCCCTTAGTGACAAGTTTTGGATCTGCCATACTTTAGTCAACTCATAACTCTCATGCATTCTCTCTTATGCATTCCCTCAATTTTCCGAATCATAGGTCTTGGAACCCTACAATACTATGATAAACCCTCCACTAGGCTAGCGTTTAATTGTTCTCCAACTGGACCCAAATGGCTCTGACGCCGCAGACAGCAAGCACTGCTTCCTTTTCACGGAAGATATATAGCCTGGTTTTCCTCATGACTTCCCCTTGAAACCTGATATCCCCAAATTGAAGAATAGTTAATTTTGCTTCAATTTCAGTAGCTCTACCACTTCCATCAACTGCACACGCGAGGGCTTTGAGTGCTTCTTTTATTGGTTCCGCTATTACGTAGCCAGCAACCCCTTGAGACAGAATGAACAGATACACTGGACTGCACCGTTGGAGATGGAAAAATTTAGCTCTAAAGTACTCTTTAAAATATTAATTTTTGAGAACTAAAACATAACTAACGGCTATGTTTAGCACACCTTGACTGGAGACGGACTTAGGGTCTGTTTATAAGAGATATAGGGACATGCCATGTCAACTTATGAAACTTTTGATATCATTCAAAATGCTCAAAGATCTCCACGAGATACGGTATTAAGAGATATATTAATAATAGCTATACATTATTATGGAAAATTTAGCATGTCTAGTGATTGTTCATGCTGTAATTTTCAGGCATAGAATCCAAGAGGAAGATAGAAATAGAGTGATAGTTAACTGATGGATAGGGATGACAATTCTAACCGTTAAACCTGATAATCGTGGACAATCACTCGAATGGAACGGATTTGGGTATGGAAGTTTGGGTACATTTTGGATATGGGGAAAAACTGTTTATGTTATTCGGGTATGGTTTTAGATATGGTTATAGCGGTCCCCAAACTGTATCTGTAACCGAATCCGACCCGAATAGTAAACAATCTAATTTATATATAATATAATAGTATAATATATATGTATGTATGTATCTATATATATATGTATATGTATGTATGTATTTGTGTATCCATTATTCTCCGAACCATTACCTTAAGAATACAAAAGTCGCATTTTGTAGGAAAGTAAAGTTTTGAATCAAAATCAATGTGAAATCAATGGTGCTTATGGGAGATATCAAAGACAAGCCAACATCATCAGTGTTATAATTTTTATACTCAACAAGATCCATTCATTGGATCATTTTATACATCAAATGTTTAATAACGAAATTAATATCTACTAACTTATAATGTCTCAACTGAACGAATATATTTTTTGTATTGACGAAGATTGATATGGAGAATCCGTTACCCGGTGGATATGGTTATGGATTATACCCAATGATTAATTTGTGGTTATGAATATGGTTAATTTTTTAGGTTATGGGGATGAATGTAGCATTTCTGTTCTCAAACCGAACTGTTGTCATCCCTACTGATGGATGCTTTTGATCATGTACTTTTAAAACTTTAAAACATCGGAAGAGTTACGAATTGTTAGATGCTTTTGCTCAAGTACTTTTTAATTTTGAAATGGTGGAGGATTATTAATTGGATGCTTGCCCATGTAATGTTTGACTTTTGAAATTGTTGGATGTATATTCATACAGAATGCATATCATGGTAGGTTGCTCAGTTATTTTTATCTTTGTTTTCATCTCATAAAATAAATTTAAAAGTTCAAATAAGTTTTATGGTATGAAATATAGAAAACAAGTTGTAAGAGAATAAAACATAAAGCACATACAAAAATTTTCAAATAAGTTACATGAAACGTATGTTCATTGCCATCATGATGTCCTGTTCCTATAAAAGAATGACATGTGCAATTGTTTTTCACACATATAGTTGGTGTAGTGGATCAAAATGCTAAATGGCGATGAACTCATTTCATGTTAGTTGCTCTTCTGCTTTGTAACTGGCGTTTTACCTCAATGCTTAGACTCTGGTATCAACATTCTGATTTCGTTGAAAAAAGATTTGAAGCAAATCGTTAAATACAGATTACATTCAAAATAGAGGAAAAAGTCCTTTGCCGTTTGAGTTCCCCATGTTGGTTTAATGAACAATTCTCTTGTTGTATAAAGAAGCCCTCTTCTTTTTCTTCTTCATCTTCTACAGTCAAAATTATTCACTTCATTTTTAGTTCTCGGATTTCGACCGTTTGATCTGAGATCGGTTTTTTAATTTTTATCCCGACAAAAATGTCGCTGGGAGGTTCCTCCGTCACTCTCTTTTCTCCGTACAAGATGGGCAAGTTCAGTGTTGTAGACATCAAAATTTCGGTGAAATGAATGTTGACCAAAAATTAAAATTTCAACGCTCACGTATCACATAAATTTTACATGTAGCGTGTGACTCAACGAAAAATCGAAATAAATTGGAAAAGTCATCAAATAGGACACGTGTCAATACCTGGCAGAAATGATTTATTTCATCTGATTATTTAAATCCAAAAATCAAGTTTTGGAATTCTATAAATAGGAAGCCAAGGCATTCATTTTGGGGGAGGAAGGAAGAAAGAAAAAAAAAGAAGGAAGAAAGAAAGAAAGGAAGAAAGGAAGAAGCCTTGAAACTCTAAAGCTCTCAAGCAAATCCCGAAGGATCAAGAAAGCACTCTTCGTTCTTCGTCAAATTAACCTTCAAGATCAAGCCCCAACGGCCCTTGAAGAACTTCCACCAACACAAGATCAAGCCCCAACGGCCCTTGAAGAACTCCCACCAACTCAAGATCAAGCCCCGACGGCCCCTTGAAGAAAGTGTTCATCATTCATCATCCGTTCATCCTTAGATCAAGCCCCGACGGCCCTTTGGATCAACAACTCATCCACAAACCTACACCCCACGAAGATAGAATCAGAGGACCAAATTACAAAGAGATTGTAACCCCAAAATCATTAAAACAAAATATATATTTTGTACACGTATTCTTGTCTCTTGTTTCAGGAATTTTTCGTGTTTACAAGTGTCTCTCACAGGTTGAAGTCAAGTCCTCCATGATGGTCCAGAGTTGGAGGGAAACATGGGTTTATCAATTTAATTCTTTAGTTTGGGTGTGTTTTGACGGATTTGTCCTTTTTCAGGGTGGTTATGGCGCCGCTGACAAGGTGCCGGGCGTTGAAGGGACTGCCGCAACCAGCACTGGCTGAGTACTACGTTCAGAGGTCAACTGACGGCGGCCTTCTGCGAAGCCGCTATAGTCTCCGATACTGCCACCGGGGTATTATTGTAAATCAATGTTTAGTATTATTTTTCATTTCTTTTGCATGATTATCTAACATTTTACGTTCTCAGATTATATAGAATGACAGAGCCACCTTAAGGCCACATGCCTCCCCGTATTATTTTTTCTTATAACCTTTTCTGCCGGTCTAACATTGATCAATTTTATAACACCACCATTAACTTGATTTTGTTTTCTATTGGTTAGTCAAATTAACTTCATTTCTACAAAAATAACGCCTTTAATTTTTAAATAAGAGTTATATAATAATATTAGTTGATCATATTCTCTGTTTCTTGCAATTTTTTCCTTTGCTTGCAAACTATTTTTTTGTTGTTGTTAATTTCTCTTTTTCCTCTATTTATATCATCTATGAAATTAAGAAGAGAGAGAGTTTTTTGGCAAAAAAAAACCTTTCAAACTTCTCTTATACCTTATGTTTTTACGTACACATGAATGTATGATTACTCACATTTGAATTTAATATAAATAATGTACAATAAATAAATATGGTTTTAATGTTTTATTCTCAACCCTTGCTCTGAAATTCAAGAGTAGTTGACCTTACATTCTTGGTCGCCAAGATGACCAAAAGAATGAGACTATGTTTCTATATGTATTATGCACACTACAGTTTAAAGTGTGCCCCTCACAACATGAATTTTTAGCTCCCCTACTGATTATAAAATACGTCTTTGGTTTACAATCTAATAATGTAAAATGTCACATTGTTTTTAACAATGCCTCAATAAATTAGCTTTGTATTTTGAACTCTTCCTTATCAAGAAATCTAGTGTTCTTGTGAAAACTAATTTCTTCGTTAAATGGTGTCTTATTGATAAATAATTATTAATGTCATGGCAGGATGCCCAGTGTTCCTGGGATTTACAACGACGAACAGGTGGAGGCATGGAAGAAGGTGGTGGATGCAGTTCATGCCAAAGGCGCAGTCATTTTCTGTCAACTTTGGCACGTTGGTCGTGCATCTCATGAAGGTAGATTTTTTACCTATTACGGTTTGGAGCAGTAGGCTGATTGTTTTTGTTCGTGACATGGTTAATGATTTAGTTTATCAACCTGGTGGGGGATTACCGATATCTTCAACCAACAATCCCATTTCAAAGAGATGGAATGTTCTGTTGCCGGATGGCTCTCATGGCACTTATCCTAAGCCTCGAGCCCTCGAAACCCAGGAAATTCCCCAAGTGGTTGAGCATTTTCGCCAGGGTGCGTTGAATACCATTCGAGCGGGTCAGTTTCTTTTCCCGTGATCTGATTGCTCGTGTTGTGTCGCACTTTCTATACAACTTTTGAGTCTTATGATCAATTTTCATGTCGTGTAGGTTTTGATGGAGTTGAGATTCATGGGGCACATGGCTATATCATTGACCAATTCCTGAAAGACGGGATCAATGATCGAACTGATGAGTACGGTGGATCGCTAGAAAATCAGTGCAAATTTCTTATTCAGATTGTTCAAGCTGTGGTTGCAGCAATAGGTGCGGATAGAGTTGGGGTCAGAATCTCGGCGGCTATTGATCACTTGGATGCCATCGACTCCAAACCACTTATCTTAGGCCTGGCAGTGATCGAGAGGCTCAACAGGCTTCAACAGAATTGGGGCTCGAAACTGGCTTATCTCCAAGTGACACAGCCTCGCTATTCAGCTCATGCCCAAGCGGAAGCTAGTAAACTCAGCAATGACGAAGAGGAAGCTGTGTTTATGAGGACTTTAAGAAACTCTTATCACGGTACATTCATAGCTAGCGGAGGATTCACTAGAGAGCTTGCAATGCAAGCAATTGCTTCCGGCAACGCTGATTTGGTGTCATACGCCTTTTTATCTCGAACCCTGACTTGGTTTTGAGATTTAAGCTTAATGCCCCCTTGGCGAAATATAACAGGAAGACTTTCTACACACAAGACCCTGTTGTTGGGTACACAGACTACCCTTTTCTGAACAAATCCTATTACGGGGATGAGGAGGAACGGCTCTCCCGTCTATGATTTCGTTGTTTTGGAAATTCTCTAATGTTCCTTAATTTTGGATACTGAATTATAATCTGGTTCAAATAAACATGTTCTAGCTTGTAGTTGCAGTAGATAGTTCAAACTCAAAAAAAAAAACATCGGAACTTTTCTTCCATGCTCCTTTCTTCCCCTAACTAGCACCACTCGAACTTGTAAAGCTAAAGTTCGTAAACTATTATAGCTAGCTAGGTTAACATTGCCTAAAAATTTTAATGTTCGTTTCTTCCCATAATCATTTTTAAGTTAGCGTCTTCTGTCATGTGTTAGTGTCGGATGCTACGGCACCAAGTAAGTGTTATTTTGCCAAAAGCGTACCAACGAGGCCAGTTAATGTAAGACTGAGCTCGAAACACTATATCCGATGCCTAGCATTTTACGCAGACAACCAGATTGGGGGAATCTTGTGCTCTCTAATGTCACAGACTGCGTCGTGCGAGATGGATAACTTGATAGCGTTTGCCCTCAGCCCAGTTCAAGGATAAGAACGAGCAGGATGCTCTCCACAAACCTCTATAAGTAAAGGTAGAGACCTTTACGCTTAGAACCTTTGTCAAATTCAATCTCTACAATATTCCCACTAGTATATAATCTGGTTTTTGGTTGTTGATAATCCACCCCTCGGACAGATATCATTTTTTGTTTACATGTGAGCGTGAGCTTCTCTACCAACCGATGATAAAACACTCGTATTAATGCAATAATGTGGTTAACACATGCATTGCTTACAAAGCAGCAAATCCAACCTAACTTTTTCGAACAATACTGCTACTCAAAGGATGGGTAGGAGTTTCTGCTCAAAATTATTCGTCGTTGATTCGTAGAACATCAGAATCGTCCTTATTATTGTTAGCGTGAGTCAATATTAGGAAAAGTAGGGAATGTAAATAATAGGAGTCCTTTATTAAGTAGGTTTGTGTATATGTTATTTGTTTCCTTGTAAAACTATAATAGTACTGATGTATATATATTTCTAAACAAGTAATACAAGATATAATTCCGTAAAAGTTCTATTTGGTATCAAGAGCGCCGAAACCCTAGTTTTTTTTTTCTTCCGCTGTGCTTGGGTGACTGTTTTTCTGCAATTTTCTGCAGAAAACAGTGGTACCGTGTGTGTGTGTAATCTTGCTGCGTGCAGTGTGGTTTTCTGCAGTGTTTTTTCTGCAATTTTTCTGCAGCAAACAGTGTTGCTGTGTGTGTGGTATTGCTGCGTGCAGTGTGGTTTTTCTGCAGTGTTTTTTTCTGCAGCAAACAGTGTTGCTGTGTGTGTGGTATTGCTGCGATCTCTGCTGTGTATTTTTCTGCAATTTTTCTGCAAAAAAGGGTGTGATCCGTGAGGGTGTTTTTTGGTGATTTGGTGAGCAACTTCTCTGCACAGTTTTTTGTCTGTGTGGTGTGGTTGCGTGTACGTAGTATCGTGTTGTTTGTTTGTGGATTGCTGTGCTGTTGGGTTTGAGCCTTTTTTCGAATCCAATAGGTCACGGGTTTGACTCCGGCGGAAGTTGTTGTTGCTTGTTTGTTCTTGCAACGTGTGGTTCCGTAATTGGTAGGGTGCTGTGATTGCCGTGTACTTGTGATTGTCATTTTTGCGTATTATTAAATGGCAAATACAGGTTGGATTTTAGATTCTGGTGCAACGGATCATATGACATATGATAAAAATATGTTTCAATACATGACCACATCTCACAGGAAAAATATATCAACTGCCAATGGTACTTTGGCACCCGTGTGTGGTGCCGGCACTGTGCATCTTACCCCTACACTTCCCCTACATCATTGCTTGCTTGTTCCTTCTTTATCCCATCATCTGTTATCCATACCACAGGTTACTGAACAATTGGATTGTGTTGTTCTAATGTATCCATCATTTTGTCTCCTTCAGGATATTCAGACCAAGGAGATAATTGGGCGTGGCACTAAGAGAGAGGGGTTGTACTATGTAGACGACGTCGTTTCTGGCAGAGCTAATGCGGTTCGAGCGTCCCGGTCTAGTAATTTACAAGAAGTGTGGTTGTTGCATCGTCGGTTAGGGCATGCATCTTTTGGGTATTTACGGCGTATGTTACCTAGTCTATTTAGTGGAATAAATGAATCAGACTTACATTGTGAAGTATGTATTCTTGCTAAAAGCCATCGGGCTTCGTTTCCTCCTAGTATGAATAAAAGAGCTTTACCGTTTGAACTTGTGCACTCTGATGTTTGGGGACCATCTCCTGTTGTTACTTCTTCTGGGATTAAGTGGTTTGTTACGTTTGTTGATGATTGCACTCGTATGACGTGGTTATATGTGGTGAAAAATAAGAGTGATGTTGGTATGGTATTCCGAACCTTTTCTCAAATGATTCGGACACAATACTTATCTGTAATTAAAGTTCTTCGTTCTGATAATGGTGGTGAGTATCTTAATTGTGAGTTGTTGGAGTTTCTTTGTGATCAAGGCATTCTCCATGAAACAACCTGTCCCTATACTCCACAGCAAAATGGAGTGGCTGAACGGAAAAATCGCCATATCTTAGAAACGGCACGTGCTCTACTTCTGGGCGCGTCTGTTCCTAAGATTTTTTGGCCTGAAGCAGTTACTTATGCGGTCTACGTGATTAATCGTATGCCCTCTCGGGTGATTGACTTTCGAACTCCTCTTCAAGTTCTCACTCAACATGTTCAGGTGATGTCTACTCATACTCTCAAGCCCCGGGTATTTGGTTGTGTGGCTTATGTGCATATTCCGAAAATTCATCGCACTAAGTTGGATCCGTGTGCCCTTCGATGTGTGTTTGTTGGTTTCTCATCTCACCAAAAAGGATATAAATGTTATCACCCTGAGACTCGGCATATGTATGTTACTATGGATGTGACCTTTTCTGAATCGGAGTTTTTTTATGCCCCCGTATCTTCATCTTCAGATCACCAGGGGGAGAGCTCTAGTGGTGATCTAGAATGGTTGGACGTGCCAGAAAATACTGTGGTTGATGTTGAGGCCGTGCATGCTGGTGCCGTGCCTAATGCGGCAGTGATCATACATGCCGTGCCAGAAAATACTGTGGTTGATGTTGAGGCCGTGCATGCTGGTGCCGTGCCTAATGCGGCAGTGATCATACATGCCGTGCCAGAAGTTGCTGCCGAGAGCAGCATGCAGTCAGAAGCAAAAGATGCCGAGAGTGATCCACAGTCAGGACAGTTCATTGTTGAGCCTACTTGTGTAACCCCCTCTCTCTCTAGCTCCACGGTGATGCCCAATGATTCTTCTCTGAATAAACCTGAGGTAAGTATTGTGGATGATTATGTAACTAATGCAAGTACTGATGTAAATACATATAAGCTGCCACCGAGACAAAATCGGGGTGTGCCACCTGACAGGTTTTCTCCGGAAGGCAAAGTAAAGTATCCGATAGCCAACTATGTCTCATGCAATGGTCTTGCACCAGAGCGTAAGACCTTGATAGACAATATGGAGGCTATTCGAGTACCAACTCGTGTGGATGAGGCTCTAAAGGATCCAAAGTGGGCAAATGCAATGGATGAAGAAATGTTGGCGTTACAGAAGAATAATACCTGGGAGGTGACGTCCTTGCCGGAGGAAAAAAAAACAGTTGGATGCCGGTGGGTGTTTACTGTCAAATACAAAGCCGATGGATCAATAGACAGGTACAAAGCAAGGTTGGTAGCTAAAGGATACACCCAAACATATGGTGTAGATTATCAAGAGACGTTCTCTCCGGTTGCCAAGATGAATACGGTACGTGTTCTGATTTCTTTAGCTGCTAATATGGACTGGCCATTAAAACAGTTTGATGTGAAAAATGCTTTTCTCCATGGGAACTTGGAGGAAGAAGTATATATGGATTTTCCTCCTGGGTACAGTGCTGGTAGAAGTACCGAAGTATGCCGGTTGCGTAAGTCTCTTTATGGGCTGAAGCAATCGCCTCGTGCATGGTTTGATAGGTTTACTCAAGTTATGAAAAAGATTGGGTATTATCAGAGTCATTCTGATCATACATTGTTCGTTAAACGGAGACAGAAAAAAGTGACAGCCTTAATCATCTATGTAGATGACATGATTATTACTGGGGATGATTGTGATGAGATTTCAAGGCTGCAGAGAAATCTTGCGGCTGAGTTTGAAATGAAGAACCTAGGGGATTTGAAGTATTTTCTTGGAGTCGAAGTTGCTCGATCTTCGAAAGGTATTTTCTTGTCACAACGTAAGTATGTTTTGGATTTGTTAAAAGAAACTGGTATGCTGGGATGTAAGCCAGTTGATACTCCTATTGTTGAAAAACATCATCTATGTTTGGATCCGAATCAGAAATCGGTTGATAAGGGGAGATATCAGAGACTTGTAGGGAGACTAATTTATTTGGCTCATACACGACCAGATATTGCCTATGCAGTAAGTGTAGTAAGTCAATTTATGCATTCACCGAGTGAAGATCATATGGCTGCTGTTATGCGTATCTTAGCTTATTTAAAGTCTGCACCTGGAAAAGGAGTTCTCTATCGGAAGCATGGACATTTTAGGATTGAGGGGTTCACGGATGCTGATTGGGCAGGAAGTGTAGGTGACAGACGGTCTACTTCGGGATATTTTACTTTTGTAGGAGGCAATTTAGTCACATGGAGAAGTAAGAAACAGAAGGTAGTATCAAGATCCTCGGCTGAGGCCGAGTATCGAGGGATGGCTCACGGCATTTGTGAGATTCTCTGGCTTCGAAAGCTTCTTGAGGGGCTTGGGTTCAAGCCAAAGGAAACCATGAGACTATACTGTGATAATAAGTCAGCAAGAGATATAGCTGATAATCCGGTACAGCATGATAGGACAAAACATGTGGAAGTTGATCGACATTTTATTAAAGAGAAGCTTGAAAGGAAGATTGTGTCAATACCTTTTGTGAAGTCAGAGGAGCAACTTGCAGACGTTCTAACTCATGCAGTATGTAGTCGAAGGTTTGATGACTCACTTGTCAAGTTGGGCATGTGTGATATCTATGCACCAACTTGAGGGGGAGTGTTAGCGTGAGTCAATATTAGGAAAAGTAGGGAATGTAAATAATAGGAGTCCTTTATTAAGTAGGTTTGTGTATATGTTATTTGTTTCCTTGTAAAACTATAATAGTACTGATGTATATATATTTCTAAACAAGTAATACAAGATATAATTCCGTAAAAGTTCTATTATTATATCCAAAATCTATAATGGATAGTGTAATTGTTCTTCTTCTACAGTTAAAAACGTCAAAAAACAATTAACCCAGACAATTAAATACATGAAAATCAGTCAATATTTGCCTAGTAGCTAAAATAAGAACGGAAAAAGAAACATAACGTTTCGTGATCAAAGAATTTTATGTCAAACCAACAGCACTTCCGCATCCACCGTGATTAGAGATTTTTCAGTATGACCGGCAAAAAGGATGGTGCATCACGTGTTATTATATAAATAGTATAATATATATGTGTTAATAAATTAATAACTTAAAAAAAAAAAATTTTCCCACTACTTAAATAAAAACACATGGTGTATCACTCGTATTCCTGTCATAATAAAAAATTTATCCACCATGACCACCTGCACTCCCCTTTTTCCTAAAATTTTTTAATTTTTATTTTTTATTGTGAGTCGTAGGAGGTTAATTGATTGGTTGATAGAAGAGTACGAAGAATAATAATCTTGTGAAGGCCAATCAAAGAAAAGAGAGGGTCTGAATTTTGGATGCGGATGCTGAGGGGCCTGGTGATTTCGGCGGGAAGAGGATAATTTATTTGCAGGCTGTTAATTTTGGAGGGAGACTAGGAGTCTCTGAATTTTTAATTCAATTTTACGTCTATAGGCATTGGAAAAGTCAGAACATGAAGGGGTTGGAAAAGTGTAAACTTAATTACGGTTATTACATTTCTAGGGTTTTGCTAGGAAAATAAAAGTTCATACTTTTGAGAAGGACATTTTTGTTCACTACTATTTAGTATCATGTATGCTCATCATCCTAGTAATTATCGTTATATTAGTTTGAATTTTGAGATTTGTGTATTTCTATTATACGAATCTCAAAATTTAAACTTATCTAAGGATGATAAATAGAATCGTGAGTAAAAATGCTCCCCACTAAATGGTGGTGCGCAAAAATATTCCCTACTTTTAAGGCATTAGACTATCTCGCTATTGGTCACATGTGGAGGGGCTTGGTGGTTACGGTTGTTACATTTCTAGGATAAAGCCTCAGGCCAAGTTTAGTTTCAGGACATGCAACATGTAGCTGAAAGTAATAAAATTATAGCCTTCATGGTTGAAGATGAAAACTTAAGAGCGTTGTCCTTGTTCATCTGGTAAAATATGTACCTATATCAAAGCACAATAATGTCATGTCCTGAACTCCGAGACATGATATCATATTTAATTTTAATTAATCTTATGGCTACATCTAACCTTCGAATTAGATTTCTTACATACCATGTGAAGGGATCAAACCAATTATATTTCATTATTCATGCGACAAAAATCAACATGTGCTATGTTACATTTAGATGTCATACTTAGCGGAAATGGATATTTCACTTAACTATGAAATAGAGTGACAATCGGCATGTTCAGCCTGCTAGGCTCTAGCAAGCCTCTAGTGATGCTAATGTCAATTTTCGAAATTTATTCGGGATATGTTGGCCCCAAGTCAATCCTCAATTAAAATGGTTTCTATTAAAGTCAACCACCATAATTATTCTCATTCTATAAGATCCGCACATCGGATTTACGACCTATAAGTTTCTATGGCCAACACATTACTCCTACGATAACATATTACAATTTTATAGTGATCCAATGGTTGGATATCCACCTATTACAAATTGAAGTGACGGTCACTCAAGGAACTATGTTCAATTGATCGATTTTGAAGAAAGGGAGTGCAGATTTAGAATCAACACGTCGAAATGCCCTAGGAAGGGTCCCGGGCTGAATCCCAAAAAGATCAACGGTCAACACCGAAATATTCCGTCACTGGAATGGAATATTTCCTTACAGAATATTCCTTGATATATTTTGACCTAGAGTTGGGTCGGTTCGGATCTGAATTTGGATCTAGGTTTGGGATGTTTGATCCGTACGTTCGGGGTTGGGTCAGATCAACCATGTTCCTGCAGCCGCCAGGAAACCTCACTGGATTATGGGTTTTCTCGCCAAAAAACTCAGAATTTTCTCTAATTCATCTTTGCCATTTCTCAACCATTTCACGCAATCCATACATCAAATTTAACTACTCAACGAGATAAACGCATTGATGGTAGTTAGAGGTCTCATCTTGCCCAGAATTGATGATGAAACTTGCAATGAAAGAGGTTGTTCTAACTAAAATCCCATATTTCGAACTCTCATCACAATTCTAGCAAAAGTGTGCAAAATACAAGTAGTCACCACTACCTTTCAGCATTCACGAGATCAATTTTGATGTAGCAAATAGACTAACATACAATAAGATAAACGTATTAATTGACGTTACATGTACAACACATCAACTCAAATTCAAACGTCCACTCGATCTACAAAACAGTTATACCTTAAAACTTCAGTAATAAGTTAACTACGTCTCGAGCAAAAAGTCAACACCAAGTTGTCCATGGTTATTGTATTAATCAAATTAAATTTTAAATATTTTTGGTCATAATAAAGATTAATTAACTTAATTAATGACTTAGGACTTAGACTGTAGGTAGTCGCACGACTAAATAGTATTAGGCAAATAAAGCGTACCTGCGTGGGGACGTAGGAAGGGGAATCTTCTTATTCTCTTATCCTCCTTTCTTCTTCTTCCACCTCTATTTTTCTTCTCTTTTTTATTTTTATTTTTATTTATTTATTTTTTAGCTCCTCCCTGCAAACTGCGAAGTGAAGATTTTGACCGATCGGACAAAATGGTGAAGGAGACGGAGTACTACGACGTTCTCGGCGTCAGCCCGGCGGCGACCGAGGCGGAGATCAAGAAAGCTTATTACATGAAGGTCAGTTAGATTTTCAGGAGAAACTGAGAGATTATCGTTATTTTGGCTTTAATTTTGATTAAGCGATAATTAATCGGAAGTTTTGATTCGTAATCAGTTGCTTCTTCCTCAATCGATTATGTGATAAGCTTAATAGATCCAAGCCGTGTTCTATAACATCACTTGGAAATGTGAATTGTATCAGTTGTATATGATTATTGTCTGTGTGGAAGTGATTTTAGATGATCAAGAGCGCTTCTGACAATGTTTGGAAGAAGCACCCGCTATGGGCTTCTTTCAGGAAGCAAGCACTTCAAGTGCTTTTCTAGGAAGCACTTGCATTTTTGTTAATTTTTTTGATGTGGTTTTAATAGAAGCGCGTTCAGTCTGAGCAGAAGTGCTTTTCTAACAAGCATTTCTAACAGCTATAAATTTAATGACTTTGGTTTTTGTGGGTTTTGTGTGGATCGCAGGCAAGGCAGGTTCATCCAGATAAAAACCCAAATGATCCACTTGCAGCACAAAATTTTCAGGTGAGATTTGCTCTTGTTTTTCATTTAAATTAATTCCCATCAAATTATACATCATGGTCAATACAGTGTATTTGTGACATGAAAGACTTGCTATTTGCTTCCACGAACTTGTATATTAGAAACTACAAGTTCTCAATACTGGATTCAGAGCCCCTTTCCTCAAACGGGGTGTCTTTTATTCTGTCATTTTCGTTTAGTATAGTTCTATTGTGGGAAGGTTGTTTTATGAAGAGGGGGTGGACTTGAATTGTTAGTAATTTCTTTTGTTGGTCTAGTATAGGCTTACCAAGTATATATGCATCTTTTTCATTTGATTCAGGTTTTGGGAGAAGCTTACCAAGTGTTAAGCGACCCAAGCCAACGCCAAGCGTATGATGCTTATGGAAAATCAGGAATTTCAACGTTAGTTTTGTTCTCTTATTTCGTTAATATATGAGTTCTAATATCTAAAGGGTGGCTGATACAAGACACCTTATGGATTTCCTGAGCATATCGCAATATGTGTGTTTAGCTGCGTGCTTCTGACATTTTCAAAATGTTACTTTGATTCCAGCGACGCAATTATTGATCCTGCAGCGATCTTTGCCATGCTTTTTGGTAGTGAGCTCTTTGAGGAATATATTGGACAGTTAGCCATGGCATCAATGGCTTCCTTAGATATATTCACAGAAGGGGAACAGTTTGATGCGAAAAAGTTGCAAGAAAAAATGCGGGTACAGTTTTGTTTAACTTTTTTCACTAACCCAGTTTACCTCCAATTTTCTTTGATGGAATGGAAAGAACTAGTCCATATCATTGAAGAATGCTTACTGTGTGGCAAAACTGCCAATATCCTTTTACTACAGGTTGTTCAGAAGGAAAGAGAAGAAAAGCTCGCAGAAACACTAAAAAATCGACTCAACCAATATGTGCAAGGCAACAAAGAGGAATTTGTTAGTCATGCTGAAGCTGAAGTTGCGAGGCTTTCCAATGCAGGTAATTCATTACGTGTGGTGCTTTTGGGTGACAAGAACAGAATATTTTCAACTGCTTTTAGGTCGGCTCTTGTGTAAAAGTTGATGAGCTTTGGCTGGTATCTATCCTCTTGAATTGAAGAATAACTGAAGAATAAGCTAGCTCTTTCTAAATGTAGGTTGGGACCATACAAGATGAGATCCTGAAAACACTCTCTATGAAGCATTGCCGTTTTAGGGCCTACATTGATTTGTTCTTTCCAAGGATTTCAGTATTGGTTTCAGTAGTTGAAATGTAGAGAAATATAGGAAGATATTGATATTCAGTAGAAATATCGATGAAAAAACAAAATAATAAAAATTAGAAATAAAAACATACAAATTATCTTTGAAACTTCTAAAATCCAAAACTAACAAATAACACTTCATTTAACATATAAATTTTGCAACATGGTTAACTCATAATTACTTTGCTACTGCAAGTGATGGAATCCTTGGTGGATGGGGATTTCCTCTTCAACCTACTGCTTCTCGGGTTCAAAACTAACAAATAAAAACCTACTGCAAGTGGTGGAATCCCTGATTTTAGCATATTATCGACCAAAATATCAGTACTATTGGCTATTTTAGTTCCTTGGTTCTTTCTATAAATACATTGACATTTAGTTCAGATGTTGATTAATGCAATACAACCATTATACTGCTACTTGGTAACTAACAAGTCAGTAAAAATTATAACTGTAGTATCTTACGTCTGTTAATTTAGGTACTCATTGTGTAATTTTATCATGGATCGCATTTCTGTCAGCTCACTTAATTCTATTACTGCATCCAATTTCGATGGAGATTATGCAGCGACACAGTTAACAGGGACTAGCAATCCAAGTTATGCCCAACAGTTCATCATTTTTCAAAGTTAAAAAAAGAAATTGCCGAGTAATAATTCATTCAGGTTGTAGGAACCATAGTTTGAAATTGCATCGCGTAAGGCTTTGCGTGGGAGGTTTCACTATGCAATGTCGCACTATGTAGCGGTTTCAATGTGTGTGTATATATACTTGCACCAAAACGCATATCATCCTCATCAAGAATATATTACCTTGCAAACTATAATCACCGTCGCTATCACGTCTTTTATTTTCCTCTTCTTCAATTTGTTGCAAAATATCATTAGTAGTATAGTCATTTTCATTGACTGGATGGATGTAGTGATCGTCGTCAGCTAAAGGAACATCAAACAAATTAGATGTGGCACATAACGCAATATTGCATAGAAACCGAACGCTTTTTTGGACCATTGTGATATTTTTGCATTATTTCGCAAAATGTCTCCCGTGATGCGAGATGATATAGTGCACTATATTCCCCAATATCGCGCGTTTTTCAAACCATGGTAGGATTTTACGACACATAATGTGGTTAATGCCTTATAAATCTGTTTCTATGATTATTGTCTAAGCTTCTCTCTATCATTTTCAATGATATTGTCTATTTTCTACAGCTTATGGTGTTGATATGTTGAATACAATTGGCTACATATATGCCAGACAATCAGCAAAGGAGCTAGGCAAGAAAGCAATGTATTTGGGTGTGCCATTTGTTGCAGAGTGGTTTAGAAATAAGGGGCATTTCATTAAATCTCAAGTAACAGCAGCAACAGGTTAGTGGATCTTTCTGAATTCGGTCATTGACAGTTGCGTCTAAATCTTTGTTATCATGGTGACGGTAAATTTTTGTTCCAATAATTAATTGAGCTATGGAGCTAACCAGGGTGTGGGGACTGATTCTACCCAAACTAATAGGGTCCAATCCACTTCATCCATATATATTTAAATATTTGACAGGAAAAGGAATAATCATGTGTTTTGTTTCTTTCTTTTTTTGCATATGTAAGGTATACGTTTTCACAAATGCACACAAGTTTTCTGGCAAAGCCAATACGTGCTTTTGCTTAATGGACTGTTATTTCAGGTGCAATTGCTTTGATCCAGCTGCAGGAAGACATGAAAAAGCAGCTAAGTGCTGAAGGAAATTACACAGAGGAAGAGCTCGAAGAATACATGCAATCTCACAAGAAAGTGATGATTGATTCCCTGTGGAAGCTTAATGTGGCTGATATTGAGGCCACTCTTTCTCGTGTTTGTCAGATGGTTGTTCACTGCCCCAATGTTGTATTTGGTAATTTTCAAAACATGAATAGAAATCTGGTCTAGATTGTAATTTTTCATTTCATCTTTAGGTTCTTCAAGACAACAATGCCAAGAAAGAGGAACTCCGTGCACGAGCAAAGGGGTTGAAAACTCTTGGCAAAATCTTCCAGGTATTGTTTTCTTAACCTATATTTATGATTTTCTGTTGCTATAATCCCCATTGTCTAATACATATGGAAGCTATGACATTTTCGTATAGAGAACTAAATCAACCGGTGGGAATGAGGGTGAAACTCCACAAAATAGTAGAGTTCATAAACTGAATGGAAGTGAATTACGCTATGATCCCTCTTCTCCTATAACAACACCAAAGTCCTTAAAGCCTGAAGAGCCATCATATACTGCATTCGAGCCGCAGGTATCTTCTCTTTTAATAAATCCATTTTATGTGTCTGACTCTATCCTTTTTGAGTTTATATCAAATAGCATTCCAACATGGCCTAGAATGCATTAGTTTTTGACATTTGGTATTCTCTAGTTTTGGGACATGACCATTTGTACGTAATTTTAAAGATAGGCATTCCTAACTAGGTATTACTTGCCTGAAACAAACAGTTAGAAGAGTATCGACTCATTTGACACAATTGAGAGAGGTACAAAATCACAAAAAGACAGAACAGTTTGATTAAACTCAAGATTAGAACCAGTACTTGTGCTCCTGAAAAGTAAAAACCACCGTAAATTTTAGTGAGTTCAGCTCTTCGATAACAACAAAAAGTGAAATGACCCTTAAATGGTGGTTAAGGTAATGGATTTATACACTTCAAATGGGTTTTTTTTTTTTTTTTATAACAACCAAGACAATTTTTTTAATTACAAAATACATTGAAAATGACCAGAATAGAAAAGAAGATCACTGTAAACAGGTGAAACACACGAGTCACAAGACTCCCAACTATAATAGAGAGCTGAAACTACATTTCTTGTGTTCGTCCCAATTCTTGGGGGATGGTGAGAGAGTTGAGGACTGTGGAAAGAAAGTGGGAAGTAGAAACCCTTGTACGGAAAGTAGAAACCCTTGTACGTTTGTTCTTTTCTTAATGCGTTATCCTTATTATTTTTTTCTTTTCGATTTCACAGAGCCCCTATGTGGAAGCCCCCCAAATTGCAGGAGCGCAGTTGGACTATCACTTCCCAAGGCCAACTGCACCACCTGGTGCCCAGAGAAATTCTTCCATTGGCAGGGATTAAGGATGGAGATTGGGTTTGCTCCTTCCCTTCCGTCTTGTAGTAAAAAATTGTGACATCTTTTGTATCAATATTGTGACTGGTTTTGCGGGGAAGGTTAGCTGGATGTGTATGCTTGAAGCGGGTAAGGATTGTGCTTGAAAGGACAACTCACCTCCAGCTGCGTAGGCCTCGCTCATTCTTATGGGGAAGACAGATTTATATACGTAGGGAGGAAGATAGATTGTTGTGGAAGATAAGATTCCGTTGTCACCAGTTGGTTGGTATAGTTTGTCTAGTTATTTATTCGTGTATTTTTTGGGAGTGACGGATTTAGTTTCGAAGGTTTGAATTTTAGGCTCAGCCCTATGTTTTTGTCGATGTGAAGATTCATGTTGATTTGCCTAGATAACAAGCAAATATCAAGACTGTAATGTACATTCGTTCATGGGGCCATATTATGTGCTGATGGAGTTTTTCTCTATCCTTCTGTTGGTCATATTACTTGTGTTCAAAATTACAGTTCATTTAAACTACTGCCATATAAAGCAAGGGTTATATCCGGTAACCAGATTGGATAGGAAAACGAAGTGGCGGGCGCTGTTCGGTTTGATTATGTTCGACACAAAATATAACCGAGTCAACTAAAATTAAACGGTTTGGTTTGATTTGATTTTGACCAATGCTACTATTGAAATCAAACTAAACCTTTGTTAATCGGTTTGGTACGATTTGGTTTGGTCGGTTTAAGCCTCCAACACGTCAATAAACAATGTCCAACATTTCGAGTATTAATTTTTTAAATATTCACATATTTCAATTTCATCAAAAGTAACGTTTTTTTTTTAAACATAAAAATTCTATCTAATCAACTAGGACCAAGTTTCAATTATATAAAATTTCATGCTTGTAAACAATTTATTAGTTAGTATCACATAAGAATGAAGGGCAAATAAAATCTCTAATTTTTAATAGTGATTAGAACTTATAATATGCGATCACTTGTAATATATGTATAGTAAGACCTCAAATGAACACATAATATGTTGACGGGTGTAAAATAAATAAATTTAATAATTAAAATATAAAAGATATATGATGGATTCGGTTTTGCGGTTTCAAAAGTATGAAAACTGAACCTAACAAAAAAATAAATCGGTTCCGTAAGTTTTTAATTTATTTGACTATTTTTTCTCCAAACCAAACCAAAACCACCAAAGCACTTCATATTGGATGGCTTGATTTTCACTCATAGAAAAACCTCCCATTTTGTACCAAATCACGTGATCACTTCAAAAATCTCATTTTATGCTCTAAATTTGTAGAATATGATTTTTGAAGTAGTAATGATGGTTTTCACGTTGAATATAACAAAATAGAAAATGGAAAGGGAAAAAACCTTTTCAAAACGGTGCGTATAACAGTCTCACTAAACAACGTAAGCCCCTCTCTAATTATCAAGTCGGCAGAACCAGAGCGGCAGTAGCTGCGACAATGGAGGGAGGGAAGACGAAGCAGAAGTCACCAGCTCTCACCCTCCAGCAGTTCATCTGCACCACCGCCCCTCTCATCGACCTCGAAAAGGTTCTCTCTCTCTCTCTCTCTCTCTCTCCCTATAACCAATCAGCCATGGCGTTTTATTTCCCTGCTTTTGTTTAATATGCACTTCAATTGAATGTTAAGATGCCGCAACGAAATGGACTTTTATGGAACTAACATGCTTTGGCAATCAGGAAGCTGAGATATCTGCTTCCATTACAACTGGGTCCTTCAGAAACTTGGACACTGCGCAGAAGAAGGGCTCCACCATTCTCAATTTGAAATGTGTTGATGCTCAGGTACCAAGTGTTGCATTTTCTTTCCACTTTTCTATGGCTTCCCAGTTACTGCTTTCGAGGTTTTTTCAACTGCTTGGAAAATCAGAGGCAACCCGAAAAGAGAAAGTGAAAGAAATGCTTAGGCCTTGGTTTGTTTTGATAGAAGTAGCTTTTAGGAAAATGCTTTCCACAATATGTTTTGCTTGCTTTGCTTTCACTTTTGGCTTCAATGCACATAAGGGTTGTAGAAGGTTTTTTTTCTCTAAACGCCAGAAAAAAATTAGAGCTGTCTTCTGGCTAAACAAACAGGGCTTTAGTTTTTTATACTACAATCGTTTACTTAAAGAGAAGATATGAAAATTTGTCTAGTGTTTATGTCAGTTGAGGTATTCTTAAAACAATTTAAAAGAGTGCTGATAGAAAGCATAAAACTTTCTAGGTGAAATTTCTTTCCACAATTGAACGCATTCGGTCAAAACAAACAATTTTTATTGGCATGTGTAGCATATAACAATAATAATGCCCTCCTAACTTGTTATGCCTTTGGTTTTGAGAATAGACAGGACTCATGGGGAAGAGTCTTCTTGAATTTCAATCCACCAAAGCAGATGTTCTTCCTCCCCACAAGGTGAGAAATCCAGAATTCTTGCTTCTATGCTCTCAGTGAGTTTTATTGCAATGTTTGCTCTTCGTGCTATGTTGTTAATACCTTCAAGACTAAATGTGATTATTTTAACAAACAGATTTAAGGAGTTCCCGGCTCCAAACTATACCGTACTATCTGAAGTTTGTCCTACTAATTTCTTTTCTGTTCTTTTAATTTGCAGTTTAGCACCCATGATGTGGTTGTTCTAAAACCAAATAAGGCTGATTTGGGGGCCCCTGCTCTTGGACAAGGTGTAGTTTATCGGTTAAAGGTAATTCTAGACTGGGATGTTTGCATTTTTGATCATCATATTTTAGTTTTGAGGATCATGCTCTTACTTGTGCTGGTGGTTTGTTAACGTTTTGTGAACAGGACTCATCAATCACTGTTGCTTTTGATGATGTTCCTGAAGATGGTTTAAATAGTCCTCTACGGTTAGAGAAACTAGGAAATGAGGTATGAAATTCAAGTTCTCTAAGTTTCGATATTTTTTCTCCAAATTTCCTCAATTATCACATCGCTTTAGAGGCTACAGTTCAGTTAATCTGGTGATATGATTCTTAAAGCTTTCCCACCTGAAATCATATTGGTCATTGACGTGGAATATTATTTAAAATTTGGTTTCTATCATTAATATTATTCTCATCAAGGAAACAATAGAATTTTTTAATCGCAGATTGTCTATGCAGGCATTACTAAATCTTCTTTTTCACATGCCCTGCCAGATTAAGATTCATTGGAAAAAAATGCTGAAATATTAACTGTGTCTTTTCAGGTGACATATCGTAGGATGAAGGATGCCTTGATACAATTGAGCAAAGGTGTGCAGAAGGGCCCTGCATCTGATTTAATTCCTGTCTTATTTGGAGAGAGGACACCAACAGTGTCCAAGAAGGATGTCATGTTCACTCCATTTAACAAAAACCTTGATCACTCTCAGGTCCCTAACCCTAATACTATGAACTTTTTCTTTGCTTTTCCCTTTTCTTCTGAATCATAACGGTGTCACTCACGATGTGCCATTTTGATTAACATCACACATTCTATTGACGGTCTTCCTCTGAATCAGCGGCTTCAAAGAATGAAAGCACAAAAACATGCATTCGTAAATGCATGCATGTTCTGTGCACATAATGTCATCAACTACAGGTTTTCTGAAATTAAGCATTTTCCTACTGAACCTAAAGAAAAAGAATAAATAGGTCATTATGATCATATATAAATTGCTCCATCTGAGGTCCTGAGGATATCATAGCCTCTTCTATTTTATATCATATTCTTGTATATTATTAACAATTAGGTTTTTGAATTTAATAAAATTCTTAAGAATAAAACTGCTATTATGTGTTAAATAATTCCACCTTTAGATCTCCTCAGTGAGATTAGGCAAATTTTAGCTGATAAGTTATATACTTCCTTCAGGTTACTTCTAAATGTTAGTTGACTGATATAGTACCATGACTATTGTTGTTGTTTTGTATATCTATGCCCCTTTATTTTTATGAGCATCTGAGTCCAAAGTTTGCTTTTCATGCATATAGTATTTCACTTAGTAATCCTTGTTTCATTTCTCAGTAACTAAAGCACCTTCTACATTTTTTTTTATATTAATTTTTTCTCTCTTTTCTTTGCTCCACAGAGAGATGCCATTTCAAAGGCCCTGTCATCAAAGAATGTATTTTTGCTGCACGGACCTCCTGGCACAGGAAAGACCACAACTGTGGTGGAAATTATCTTGCAAGAAGTTAAACGTGGATCAAAGATTCTTGCATGTGCTGCTTCAAATATTGCTGTTGACAACATTGTTGAGCGACTTGCACGCCACAAGTATTTCACTGCCTTTATATTTAAGGATTTCAACTTTTACTTGATGATTGAGTTTTAACTATAACAAAGAAATATTAAGGTCCTGAACATAATTTATTTGCTGGTCTCCCAAAAAATTCAAATTAAGGAAGCTTATGAGTACATAAAGAACCGATTTTGATGTTGACATATGCATTTCATATCAACTGTTTGCAGTACGTCCTACTGTGATTGCCCATTTTATACAAATTTTAACACCATTTTACACAAATTTTAACCAAAAGTACAAAAAGTTTGAAGACTTTAGAGATCTACACATAGACCTCGGTGGAGATTCTTCCTGGTTTGGGTTCAGTGGTTGTGTTCGGGTTTGGCGGTTGAGTTTGATGGTGTTGAGTGAGTGGTTACACTATGTTTCTAGGTAACTCAGATTGGGTTTGTAATGGGGGTAATTTGGGAATGCTATGGGTGTACTCATTAGTTTTTATACTTTTTTTTAAAAGAGATGGGTCAAGATATTAAAATATGTGAACATATTTAAAAGTTAGGTGCCAATAGAGTGTTGGGTTTTACGACTCAAAATTAGGATGATACAAAGAATTAGGTTTGTGTTACCTATTTGGTTTTGGTGTCCTATTTGGGTTTGGATTTTGACTTCTTAGTTGGTTTCCTTGGTGGAGAGATTTTGTTAATTACCTATTTGATTAGGATTTGTATTTGCTTCCTATTAGTATTCTTATTGTAACCTATGCACTATAAATAGGACCTTAGGGTTAGTGTATTTTGTGTGCCTCACCATGGCTTAGAGAGTTTTCTCTAATTGGGTTTTGGGGTGGAGGTCACCGTCTGGAATCATGAGTGTGTGGCAAACACGTGGCTCATTCGTGTGCCAATTTGGTGAGAGTCAATTTGTGAGTTTGTGAGTTAGAGAGCAATTTGGGAGAATCTTCTCCATTTGTTTGGGTTCTCTACTCGTTTGGTTTAAGGTTTGTAATTTGTGGGATTTGGGTTGAAAGAGTTTAAACACTCTTTTGTAATCTCCGTTTGTTTAGTGAAATTCCTCGCCGTGCTTCGTTCGTGGATGTAGGCTTTATGCCAAACCACGTAAATCTCTTGTGTTAGTTTGAGATTGTTTGTTTTAGTTTTCACCTATGACGTTGATATTGGTACTTTGTTAAAATTCACTTCCGTTTGCGCATAAAAGTACAACATAGAGTCACCCTTACTTGA